TATATCCATAATACCCCTGCCCTCCCCGTCCCCCTACACCACCACACACACACATACTCACAAGCATACACACAAAATAATGTGAGCACACACAGGACACATTTGGGATAATAGCCTTCTCTTTTCCCCTTTGTCACTCACGAATCCCTGTACAAAATTACCTTCCCCTCTCATAACTTTTCCCGCTGCTTCTGCCTCAGAAGAAACAAGTTTCTCCCTTGGCATGTGTCGAGTAAGACTTCCTCCACGTTCTGCGTGGAGTAGGGTTCGGTATCTGAAAGAGGAGCCGCACAACAAATGAGAGAAAAAGACATGAGATAATTTTGCAATATTGGGGGACCAGGAGGGCAAGTCCCGAAGGACTTCCAGGGATGCTCAGGCTACTCCAATCCTTTATTGATCTGGAGTAGCCCTTAGGGTAAGGAGGTTTCAATGACACACAGATCAGCAACCAATTTCCAAGAATAGACAAAGTATCTGATTAGCTCATCAATAGATTCCCGGGAGTAGGCAGAGTATCTGATTAACAATAATCAACAAGGATCTACATAAGTATCTAAGGAATTAAGGGAACTAAGGTGGGGGTTCTTCAACTATTATTACCTAAATTAACTGGGTGGTGCACAGTTCTGACCTTTGCTAGAACTTCAAAGGTTACTAGCTTTTGGGGGGTCTCTGTCTAAACTCAGCTAGTGAAGACAATGAATAGACTCTGGCAGGCATGGATGATTGCAGCCCCATTCCCCACCCCTCACCCGTATTCCTATGACAATAGGTGTTGGAGGTCTTTCTTCCCTATCTTCCCTTAAGACAAACTTTCCTCTATTTAAATTTCAGACTCTAAGCCCACACTTTAAGTTCACTACCCACCTGAGAACTGTTGTTTTGGTTAATGAGGCAGAAAAAAAACTCAGATCCCAAGGGAAAGGAAACTATGAATCTACTACCTCTAGTGCTGGGAGCCATTCCTGAGAGAGGAAGGTGCATTGTGAATAAAGAGGTGTTGGGATTAGGTGCCTAATCAGTGAGTAGCACTGCCATTAGGTTGGGAAACAAAAGAGTCTATTAGGGTCAAGACTCAGTCTTTGATTCTTTTTTTGTGAGTAATAAAGATGTAAACACAGCATTATAACTTTAATAAATGACTGGGATTCCAGCACAGTGTTCTAAAGGAAATTATGTCTAAAGAATTAAAGGAAAGTGTGAAAATAATGTCTCATCAAATATAAAATATCAATAAAGAAATAGAAACCATAAAAAGGAATAAATAAAAATCCTGGACTAGCCTGGCCAGTGTGTCTCAGTAGTTGAGCATCGGCCTATGAACCAGGAGGTCACAGTTTGATTCCCTTCCTCTCTGAAAGCAACAGAAAATATATGTAAAAAAATTCTGGACTCTGTGGACAAAAGGGGCCACACGCTGACCTGACAAGCTCAGGGAAGGCCTGCGTGGCAGCCTAGCAGACTCAGAGACCTAAAATAACCACAAAGGATGGTCTGAAATTAAACTTTACCTAAAAGCAGTTATGGTGGGCAGTTATGTCCTAAGCCAGTATCTTCACTGACAAGATCAGCTTTGATCCTTACTGAGCCCATTTGCCTTTTTGCCTCTAAGATAACATACCCTAAACCTTTACCGTACCTGAGCCTATCTGTCTTTTTGCATCTATGATAACATGTCCTTGGGATGTCTGGGTAACTTGTGACTTCCATTTTTGTGGAGCCCCTGGGGCACAGCCAGGTGTGCTGGGCCCAGGACAGATACCACAGATTCCTTGTTAATTGTTCCTGTACCCACCTAAGTATGTGTCCATCATTTTACTTTTTATACTATCCTAGAGTTTTCCCCGCTTCGCTTAATCCCACCTCCTTAAATCTGTCACCAATGAATTTCATGTATAAATACGGATGTAACCTGCCATTCTCCGGAGCACTATCTCAATTCGTTGAGGTTCTGCTTCCCCGCATATGTCGACAGTTTGGCTCAAATAAACTCACAAAAATTCTTTATAGGTTTCAATGGTTTTTTTATACGTTAACAACTCGAAAGGTACAATAATGTTTTTAAAAAATGTGTACTTGCCGAACCGGTTTGGCTCAGTGGATAGAGCGTCGGCCTGCAGACTCAAGGGTCCCAGGTTCGATTCCGGTCAAGGGCATGTACCTCAGTTGCGGGCATATCCCCAGTGGGGGCGTGCAAGAGGCAGCTGATCGATCTCTCTCATGGATGTTTCTAGCTCTCTATCCCTCTCCCTTCTTCTCTGTAAAAAATCAATAAAGTATATTAAAAAAATAAAATAAAATAAATAAAAATAAAAAATGTGTACTAGAGGGGCTCAATGAAAATTTGAGCAGGCAGGATATCAAATCAGTAAACTTGAAAATAGATCAATTGAGATTATCCAGTTTGAGGAACAACAGCAAAAACATTGAAGAAGAATGAGCAGAACCTCAGAGATCTGTGGGACACTATCCATATACCACCATACTCATAATGAGAGCCCTAGAAGAGGGGAGGCAGACGGGGGTAGAAATATTTGGAGAAATGATGGCTGAAAACTTCCCATATTTGATGAAAAATACTAGCCTATGTATCCAAAAAGATCATCAAACTATGTAGAATAAACATAGAGGTCCACAGATAGACACATCATAATTTAGCTGTAAAAGATGAAGAAAGAATCTTGAAAACATCAAGAGAGAGCAACTCATATGCACAAAAGATTTTCAGTAACATTAATGCTGGTTTTTCACCAGAAACTTTGGAGGTAAGAAGGCGTATTGAAAGTGCTAATAGAAAAATAAATCAACAAAGGATTTCATATTTGGTGAAACTATTCACCAAAAATGAAGGAAAAATTAAGCATTCCCAGGTTAAAAAAACAAAAACAAAAAAACCTGATAGAATGTGTTAATAGCAGATATGCCTTACAAAAACACTAAAAGGACACCTTCAGGCTGAAATGAAATGATACATGTTAGGGACTACATGTTGGTGTGCCTCCAAAATTTATGTCTTCCTCGCAGGTGTATATAGTGACTGTTTCATTGCTAATCTAATTCTAGATCTAACAAAAGATCTTGCTTGTGATCTTTCTGTTTTCATCTAAGCAATCTCAACTTTTATTTCATTGAAACATGTACACTCTATCAGTTTTAAAAATCTTTCCTAGTTTCCTTGACTGACCACTCCCCACATGGATTTACTGTTAACATTGTGAAGAGAATTTCCTTCAACAAAACCTAATGCTTTGTGGCCACCACAAGGCCACACATGAAGGCTGTGAATGCTTCCTTGTGAGCCGGGAAGATAATTTAACCAGCAGTTCTTTAGCATTTACTTCTTTGGTGGGTTCACCTTCCACTTTCCCATTCTTTGACCTCTCTTCTCTGCACATTTTTCCCTCGTAAGGATCGAAATAGCTTCACAAAGGCTTTGTGTGCGTAAAATTATAAAAAGGTCTCACACAAGTCAAAGAAGTATCTAGATTTCAAAATCAATACCAAAAAAAAATTCCCATATTGTATTAATACCTTTAAAAAAATTCCCATAATATTTTATGGTGAGTGTGGGAATATGTAATTTGGCTCTCTGATAATATTAGTTATTTCAATTTAAAAAAACTTTACATATAATGCTTTATATACAAAAGAAATGAGTATACCATTATTACTAAAAATTTCCCCAATAAATGACCCAGACATTTCCTACATGCCCAGAATAGTTTGGGGTTTTTTTTTCCTAATGGTAACCTGCATTTTCACATTTCAAAATCTCTACCATCCTGTCTTCTTATTCAGAAAACTCACTGCTACTAGAATTCTGGGAAAACTGTGTCCATGGGATTTTTGTTAGAAATTCACTATACCAAAGCTTTAAATTAACACAGCAATAAAATTTCTGGAGGCCCATTTTCACTGTTGTTTATTTAAGAAATATAGCAACACACTTTAAATATTCAAAGGTTGCCTTAGGTGTACACGGAGACTAACGCTAACACCTTTGAGGACTCTATTTCATCATCCAATCAAATCTGGGGTTATAAACTCAAAGCCAATGAGTGCAGACCAGGGGGCGGGGCTTGGGGCAAATAACTGTCAGCGAGGTTGTGCAGTTGGTTGTGACTGCTTTGGGGTGAACGAAGTAGCTAACCTCTACTCTCATTTACATACCACAGGATATTCCTCCTGAAGCTTTGAATGGTGAGCCATTTCTAGCTTCCCCTTCTGGAAGTTGCCCTTCCACTCTGGTACTTGCTTTTTCAGCCTCCCTCTGAGATGAACAAATGTATTCCAGCTACGGACTCGGCCATCTCTTACCTCTTGGAGTTCCCACCTTTCCTTTGGCAGCTGATCAAGGACTTCCCCAAAGATCAACCAGTCTCTGAGTTGGAATGTCTGTCCCTTACCCCCTGCCCCATGCTCCAGTAACTTCCTCTATCAACTTTCCTAATTATTCACTTGGCTCATGTTCCTTCCCTCTTTAACGACGAACTGGGAGGAAAGCACACTGATGCTGCGGTGAATCTCCTCAGGTGCCGGGAGCTGAGCTGGAGCTGAGGGAGGAATGAGTGAAGCCGAATTAGCAGGGCAACAGACCACCCACTTTCAGAGTCTGTGAGTAAGACGCTGCCGTGTCCTGTGGTAGGAGAGTTTACTGGGAAGATAAGCTAATCCCAGTTTATCTGCCATAAACCATTAAGCAAGAGCTTGGCAGCGTGTGAAGATCACTGGGATGTTTGGGTAGGATACTTTGTCACCTTACTCCTGCAAAATGTACTGATTAAGAGGAAGAAAGAGCTCTGGCTGGTTTGGTTCAGTTGGTTGAGCTTTATTCCATTCACCAAGAGGTCATTGTTGGATTCATGGTTTCGGGCCCCAACTCCAGGAGGCGGCATGCAGGAGGAGCCCATAGATGTTTCTCTCTCTCCCTCTCGCTTCCTCTCTAAAATCAATAAAAAACATTTTAAAAATATATTTTATTGTTTTTTTACAGAGAGGAAGGGAGAGGGATAGAGAGTTAGAAACATCAATCAGCTGCCTCCTGCACACTCCCCACTGGGTATGTGCCCGCAACCAAGGTACATGTCCTTGACTGGAATCAAACCTGGGACCCTTGAGTCCACAGGCTGACGCTCTATCCACTGAGCCAAACCGGTCAGGGCTAAAAACATTTTTTAAAGGAAAAAAGAACTCCCATTTTCAGAGACAGGGTGAATTAGTATCACTTCTACTCCATGAGAAAGAATTTCAAAAGACTGACTGTTGAGGACAAATCTACATGCCATTTCTGAGAGGGCAGTCATTAATTAACTCCACACAAAGAGAATTTAGCCATTATCTAATTTATTGAAAACCTACATGGTAATTTCAAGACAAATCAGTATTTTTTTAAATGAGATAGAGTTTCATTAACTTATCCAAAGTTGAAAAAAAATCAATTTAGGCTGAAGAAGTTTTAATTACATGGAAAATCAGTCTTTTAAATTACTAAACTAGAGTAACATTAGCATTTACATGCTAATTTATGGTGAAATCATTTCTTGGGGAAAAGATTTGTTAGGAGAATTTGAAGTAGAGTTTGAAGCAGCCAAACTGAGTATTTGCCACATATTTACAGAAAAGAGTTGAGTAGTTTTATTCGTTTCTAAAAATGACTTATTAGGATTGACTGTGTAAACTCTTATTAAAGTTTTCAAATAAAAAATTTAGAAATGAGAAAGTGCTTATGGGAATGTGGATCCCCACTTTTAGTTTAGGAAACAATAGTCTATTTAACTACTGTATTAAATTCTGAAAGCATGCAGAAAATGCTTTTTCTTTTTGTTCAGGCCCAGGATGTGTAGTCCTGGAGTAACAGGACAAAAGTTAATAAGTGTCCTAAATAGTGTATTGTTAGCTAAACAAGAGCAAATATCACAATGGCATGGGCTTCTCCTAGAGCAGTGCTTCTAAATAATGGCTGCTCCTTAAATCACTGGGAAACATTAAAAGTTCACAATGCTCAGACCAATTAAATTGACTTCCAGGGATGCCACCCAGGCACCTGTAGATTTACAGCTCTCTAAGTGACTCCAATGTGTAGCTAAGGTTAAGAATCTCCCTCTTAGAGGGATAGCTGAGTCTGTTCTACCACCAGCTCTTGACATATTAAAGTGAGGATAAGAAACTTAGATTCTTTTCAGGTAAAGCAAAAATCAATCAAACAAACAAACAAAAATCAGCTGCTGACAGCAGTAAACCAGTGTGATGCTTACTAGTGGAATTAGGTCTCATTCGGAGTTACTACATGTCAGTTGGATGCTTACAGCTAGTCCGTGTCGCTCTCCAGTTGGACATAAACAATCGCAAAGAATATCAACATCCGATGAGGTCATTCTGAGACCGTAATAAAGTGAGACAAAACAAAGTCACTGTGCAACCCATACAATTATCAAACATTCTCGGCCCCTGCTAAAATGAATGACTGCTGCATCTGTACCCATTACAGCTCCTTCTAGATAAGATTTCTTGAGATACCCAATCACAGAATTGTCCTTACTTTCTGACAAAAGCCACCTATTGTAACCCCTCACTTCCTTAAACCCTCTTCAAAATTACCCAGACACGGCCCATATCCACGATAAGTTCTTTCCTACATCCTTTCACTGAAGTAGCCTGCAGTTCCCCAGGGTGAACATTCTCCCTCACTGAGACTAAATAAATAAATAACCCAAACTTGTCAATGACAGATGTGTTTCCAGTCATCTTCGACTGAAAGTCATTGATACCTTTTCTCAGAAAAACTGACTCAGGAACATTGAAAGACTGATCAGTGTTGCCTTTTCATTGGGTGAATCACAGTGGTCCCTAACCTTGGCTATCTATTAAAATTGCCTGGGGAGCACAGACTGCAATTCAAGACTGATTGCAATAGGAATCCCTAGGGATAAGACCCAGGCACCACTATTATTATAGCTCCTCAGGTGATTCCAAATAAAAAATAATAAATCTAGGAGGAGAGATAGAAGACACAGACTAGAAGCTATACAGGTTGGAAAACTGAGGCCAACAGCATTGAAGGAGTTGCTCATTCTTTCACCCTGTAAGCAGCAACTCATCAGGCCTTTGCATGCAGGCCATCTGACCAGAGTAGGCACTTTTATATTGGTGTTAACATGCTGCAAACTTGGTTAATGCTCTTTACAAGGCTCTTTGAGGCAGCTGGTAGGATACCAAGTGGAAAAGAGCATAAAGTATGATTATATAAGGATGAACCCAACTATGTAAATAAAATGTATAAGAGCCACTAGATGCCATAACTGGATGGTTTTCTGTTTTTGAAATGTTTGTTTATATAATTATGTCAAAAGTTTTTATAATAAGCACATATTCATTTAATTTTCTCTTTAAAATATTGATTTTGATCAGAAAAGAGCATATAACTCAGAAAGAGTTATATATATATAACTGAAAAAAGAGAAGTTTAGTAATTTTAAAATATTGATTTTGATCAGAAAAGAGCATGTACTAGTAATATATATATAGTTGAAACTGAAAAAAGAGAAGTTTAGTAGAACTAATTGATTACTTTTCATGGCAGCCAGATCAGATGCTAATAGTGGACAGTAGAAAATGTTAAGCCACTGTTAGGAGAGAAAGAATTGGAAGAATATCCCTCAGGAAGTTTGAGAGCACCGATGTAAAACTTTCCTTACCACGGAAGCAGGTGGGATTGCAGACTGCAGCTACTATCTGTTCCTTCAAACCAAGGCACAAAATAACCCTTGTTGTTCCTCATCTAAGAAGTAACAATGAGACAGAACATCCAACAACCCCCCTGTTTTAAATCCTTTTGGTTTCAATATTCTTATTTTGTTCTTGATTGCTGTATGGATATATAAAAGTTGGAGGAAACTTGACCCATTAGTGTTCCAAACGGTAAAAATAAGACTATGATTGAGTATCATCATAATCTATTAATTTCTGCCTGAATAGAAAAACACATGAGATCCTTCTCCCATCCTGCTACCACTTTGGAATAGCTACCAGGAACATACTTCCAGAGGCTTGGGGAAGCTGAGGACAAACCCCTCAGCTGTCCATCCCCAGAGCTAAGTGATATGCACCAACTTGTGGTCCTGGCTGCAAGTTAGGTGAAAAATCTTGTCAGAGTGGGATAGATGCCAGGTGAACAATGCTGAGTGAGCAGGGGGTGACACTGGCTAATCTCTACCACTTGGGTTTATACCTTTTTTATCTCAGTTAAATTTAAAGCATGATGGGAATGGGAGGCATCCCTAATTTTGGCAGACCCTAAGATATCACTAGGATCAAGGAGAAATAATGGTTGTTTTTAAATTATTATCATGAAAGAAAAGCAAGAAGGCAAGTCTTACTTTCCTTTGATCCTGTGTGAGTTTTGCAGAGCGTGGTAAGCGTTGGATACAGATGGTCTGTGAGAACCAACAGGATGAATTTCAGTACTACTAATTACACTTTCGAGAGCAAAGGATTTGGTGGCACTTGGGTAGAATTTGTCAAGAATAAGTTCAGTACTTATCCTCAGGACCTCCCTGAAATCATCCTAGTATTGGCTTTGATCTGCACAATTGGAGGTAGGTGCAACTCTCTTTATTTTAGTCTATTCTATGGATGGATTTGTAAATGCCACCGTATAGAATTTTTTAAAAGTAGCAGCAGTAGGAAATCAGAATTTTGGTCCTAAATTCATACATTTGTTCCCTGATTTTCAACTAAATGAATCCAACAAAACCTACCCCTGAGAAGAAACCTGTAAAATCTAATCTTTATTCTTCATCTCTATTGTGTTAAAAAAATATTCATACTTTCTTAGTTGACTAGGTTCTGAGTAGATTTAAGTGATGGGGAGAATTGAAACAGATAAGTAGAAAATCAAGGGTTGGGGGATTTTTTAATCTGTGTTATCATAAACTATAGTTTCATTCATATTTTAAAATTAGCTGTTCCACTGTTTTCTTTACTTGGACTGGACAAAGAATTTCAAAGTGATAGGTCTGAATTGTTCAGTTACTTTTTAACCACTGGGTCTGGTGTCCCATTGATTTTGTGCAAATGATAAATTATTATCTCTTATGACAAGAAAAGAACACTGTAGATATCAAAAAGATGCACCTTTCTACATGCTTTGATGTAAGAATTGTATTTAAAAGAAGAGAAGACATTAAACTGAAAAAAAAACTGTAATATTGCTTGTTGCACTTTATAATAATGATTAACAAAGTTAAATATTCATGCTTTCTATTATGTAGTAGCTAACTAGTAATAAGTAGCTAGTTTTTTTTTCTCATCAGCATAATTATTACGGTTAATTCCTCATTATTATTTAGGAATCAGTCAGATTTCACTCAAGTTTAGTTTTTATTAACCTTATTACAAGATTGCCAAAGAAGCTACCTGATCTGTAGCATGTGGACAAACTGCTATAGATATTTTAGTAGTAACCCAAGAACCAATGATTCTAAAGAAATGATATACTTCATAGAACAGGTCAAGCGGGGATGGATTAGTAATTACACTGATTCTATGTGCTTAAGTGTGAAGGAGGGTTTCAAATACAGGAATATAGGAAGTGAGTGGTGGATCAGTATTTCATTGTCCTCAGTGTTAAGAAATCATATTAAATTAAAGTTTTTAAAATGTAATATTTTACTGCTTTTTAATAATTACTTTTTTGCAGCAATTTTGAACCTACACTTGAAAGATTTTATAATTCCTCTCCCTGTGATACTATTTTTAATTGGGTGCAGTTTTGAAATACTCAGTTTTGCATCTGACCAGGTGTGTATAGTAAATATGAGTATTTCTTACTATAGCTAAGATTCATATAAATACAAAGATGGCTTAAGAGGATTATTAAAATATGTGTCTCTTCACTGTTCTGCCATTTGATAGATGCTTAGGATGTGGATAACATCAGATGTGTAGGAAAAGAAACTGGGTGTGAAAAAGCAAAGCTTAGACGAGAATTGGTTAACAAGATAGAAGCCTAGAGTGACTTAGAGCTGTGTCCGTGTCCATTGGTTATGCATATATTCAAGCATACAAGTCTTTCAATTAATCTCTTACACCCTATCCCCAACTCTTCCCTGCCTTTCGGCTGTAGTTTGAAAGTCTGTTCGATGCTTCTTTGTCTCTGTATCTATTTTTGCTTATCAGTTTATGATGTTCATATATTCCAAAAATGAGTGAGATCATGTGATATTTACCTTTTTCTCTGACTGGCTTATTTCGCTTAGCATAATGCTCTGCAGTTCCATCCATGCTGTGGCAAATAGTAAGAATTCCTTCTTTCTTACAGCACCACCGATGTACCAGTTTTTTAATCCACTCATCTGCTGATGGGCATTTAGGCTATTTCCAAATCTTAGCTATTGTAAATTGTGCTGCTATGAACATAGGGGTGCATATATCCTTTCTGATTGGTGTT